CTTACATTATATTACATTGTATTGTATTAAACAGATAAACAGCTCTTAACATGGTACTTTACAAGATGAGATTCTGCCAGTAAGTTCGTTCTCGTCACCGACTACGATTCGCCACCTCCACAGGTCGCATTTGCAGAATCACAGGAGTTGCTGGGTATTCTGCTGCTGCTGGGGAGGTCGCCGTCCGCCAGTGTAAAGATCCGGAGTCGGAGCGATCACCTTACGGAAACCTGGCGCTAGGCTTGGATGAGCCCTCAGAAACAGGGCTGGCCGTAGCGTGATACGGTTGCGATTGCCGGGCCTCAGAAAGAGCATGGCACAGATCAAATAAATCAGTACAACACAGCTAAAATTATTATTTTTGGATTTTTGTTTCAAATAAATTTAATTCCTTATGTTTTGAATTTGATTTCCTGGCTCAAGTTAGTAGTTTATTTGCAGAATAATTGACTTAAGTTTGGCTAAGACCATGGATAAATGTCTTCTGGGGATAAATGCCTTCAAATGACCTCTATGACGAGCTCAAATTTCAATCAACTGTATCTGCCATATCCCATCCAAAAGATCTGGAATTATAACGAACCTTGTCGCAAGACATCCAATCAGAAACCAGAGAACTCCATTTTGGAATAAATTTTGACACGTCTTCGTGAACATTGATGTATCAATAATCTCTAAAATGCACAATCAATCAGCTCTCCAGACGTTAAAATGCTGCGAGTAAGCACCAAAATATGCTACGAAAAGCTTAAGATTGAGCTCGAAGCAACCATCCCATAAAACTCCCATAGCACCCTCGCAAAGGACTGATTTTGAGCTAATGAAATCGTTTCCATTCGAAAGCTTCTTCATAATCACAGGATATCTTCGGATATCGCTGGATATTTGATATGATATGTGATATCGACTGATATATGAGCGGTGAATCTGTCTAAAGGCAGTTAGTCAAACGAGAGTTTGCCTAAAGACATATTGCCTAACGGAGAGTTTGCCTAACTTACAGTTTTTAATGGATATTTCGCCTAATACGGAGACTGTCCGTTCGGCAGATTGTCCGTTAGGTAACCTGTCCGTTAGGCAATATGTCCGTTAGGCAATATGTCCGTTAGGCAATTTGTCTTTAGGCAAACTGCCCGTTAGGCAATGTGTCTTTAGGCAAACTGTCGTTAGGCTAAACGTCTTTAGACAGATTAGCCGGGTACCCGACTAATATCCATTCGCATCTTTCTATCCACGGAAATGACTTCTCCAATGAGACATTCAAACAGACATTCGGTCAGAGCCGATAGCGTTGAGTCAGACAGGGAAATTGAGCCGAAACGAACCCTCAAAACGGCCATCCATTAGCCGTTTGGCATCCAAAAATATCTTTGCACTCGTCCGACCCGCAAAATTTGACACTACACATTCGTAGAGGCCGATATCTTGAACGGAAAATCGCGATATGACCAGTGTCCCATTGGAAGCAACACTGACACGACGTGAGGATCTGTCCAGTGCCTCACCATTCTGAAGAGAACAATTTTAAAAATTGTTCAAACACATTCACAAACATTAACATTAACCCAGAACCTAACTGTATTCAATGAATACTCATCATTCCGAGGGATTTCCCTGGATATAGGCAACCAAATTTTACTCTAGGAGGGATTAAAAATTAAAATCTGAAGCACTGACAATGGCAAATCCTCAAAACTTTCTATGTGAATCACTGTTCCAATTCTAATTTCTTTTGAATTCAAACGACTGCTTTGCTTTTGAAAACAAGGCCCCTACTGTGTAAAGTTGCTAGCTTTGGCTCAATGAATCTCCTTAAATCGCTTACCACTTAAATTTTCGGAACATTTAAATTTAAATTTAAAGACTACTCGCCTGCCAGACCTGTTTTAAAAGATAGCGGATTGCGGTGGGGGATATTTGGATATGAGAAAGCTCAGCGCTAAAAGCCTACTCATTTAAAAGCATGATACATGAGTGCGATTTCATCGAACATTATCCATCTATCCAGAAGAAAAAATTCCTTACCAAAATCCACGTGACCGTTGGTGAGGGTATGGCTCGAGTAGGTGGACAATCGGCTGTCACGCGTTGACCTAAACTCGGTCGAGCCGGCCTGAATACAGGTCTACTGTCGCTGGGGAATTGATCAACGTAGGCGATCACCAGCCGAACCGACTCGCTGATTTGACCCGTATCATCGCGTCTGCACCAGTACTCTCCTTGGTCACCTAAGTGGATTACATGAGATTTGATTCGGCAGAAAATTCCATATCGAATTCAGCTCATAACAGCTAGCTCTTAAATCAAACCATCCCAATCCAGCCGTAATAATCCATCTCAACAGAGCCAAAAGAATCAAACATTTGAGGAAAAACCAGCAAACAATGCAAGTTTTGTTCTATAGTTGTGATATCAGCCTGATATCCCTCTAAAGTCCGAATTTGGCTTAGAAATTGAAAGCTGCTTTGAAAGCTTCTAGGATTTCTATCGTATCGGGAATGAATCACTCGAAAGAGTTCCCTCACGATAGCACGACTGCTCAATTTATTTCGGTTCTATTTCACAACCACCGCGATCACTATCGATTTCGTCGTTGATCTGTGATATTCCCGATGGAAAACGATCCATCCATAGAGTCGTATATATTACACAATGTGAAGGGAAGGTGTGATTTTCGTCGTTTTGATGAGCTTTTTTTTCTTTTGGAGAGCATTTGCTAGCAATTTAACTGCTAAAAATGTGAGCAGCTGCAGCTCGTTAACTGATCGCATTACATTCACAAACGCAATTGGTCATTTTTATGCACAAACGAATGAGCAATTCCACGAAAGTTGTGGTGGGGCATTGAAACAATTCACAAACAACTCAATAGCGATCCGAGAAACAGCCAAAACGCTACAGAAATTTATTCACTGAAATCAAAACACCTGGATGACAGTAGAGATCTTATCCACTCAATATCTTCTAGAATGGACACTCAGTTTCGGTTAATCCAATAGGATCCTGGAGTGAACATCATTCAGGACAAGAGATAACAATCCCTTGAAACTAACCCATTGAAATGTTGGTGATTATTAAGAAGCCGACGTCTGGAACGGGTTGTTCTGAGTGATAGGATCGATTCAGGAGCACAGCATTTGACGAACTGAAATTGAACAAAATTTCAAAAATATGGACGATAGCGATCAGATCTCTTAATCCACAGGCATGGCATTAGAGAACGTTTAGTGACTTGAAGTCATGAGAATGTAGCAATAGCAAACTTTTCCCAACGCATATTAATGTAACACAGGGAATGTGAGCAACACTGTGTCTAGTGCAAGCATGGAACTAGGATTTTAATGGCTTTTACGAAAATTTGACGGTGAAATCAAAAATGGGATTTATTGGGCTGGACTAAAGCTTCATTAATTAATAGATAGCAGTTTGACGAGTCTATCGAACAAGACGGTGACTGACCTTGTCACATTGGCAACTTCAATTCCATCGCGGTACCATTTGGCCGTGCCACTATTCCCGGTGAATATCGGTTCACACATCAACGCGGTGGTCGAATGCCTGTAAATGAGCGATTGTACATTCATCATCAGAACGGACGCAAATCACAGTTGAATTTGAGGTTTTGATTTAAAATTTCGGATACGAATCCAAAAAAATGAGTGGGTGTGACGACGATACCTCGGAACGAGCATTTCATTTGCTGACAGGGATTTTGATCTGATATGCTGCAGACTATCGTTGGTGGCCAATGGTGAGCGTCGATCATGCGGCGCAGCCAAAATACTTGAAGTGACTGAAATATTACTGGTTTGAGTTGAGTGAAACCTCCGATTAAACTCGTGAAAAATGACCAAAATGATCAAAATTGTCCAGTCATCTTACTACAGTTAGCTTTCAGACTTAATTTTAACCTTAATTAAGCTAACTCCTTAATTAGACTCAGGTGGCGCTCAATCTTTAGCTCTTTATAGGCTTAAGCTTCATACGTTTCCGTAAGTAATCTTTCAAATTCATATAACAATATCCAAAACTGTTCCAATTTGATTCTCTCTGCTTCCCAAGAGCAACTCGTTCTAGTGATTATCTCAGGATCACATTGGGATTGAGAGATCTCAGAAAGAATCCAAACATGATCACATTTGAATCGAGCAAACAGCTTGGATGATCTAATTGTAAGAAACTTCTTCGCTCTACTAAAATCTTCAAAAATCTCCTCAGTTAAAGTGGATATCTCTCTGAATCCACTCAAAACCAAATCTGCATAAATCAACTCTCGCCAGCCAGATTTCTCGTTCAATATCTTTCATCAATGAATGATCAACCTGCTATATCTAGACAAGAGATTCCGTTCGGTTGCAAATCGATCCCGATCCGTGTTGAGCTCAGTTCATATCAGATTTAGATCGTATAGCTCATAACTCAATCAATCTTAGTTTCGACCAGATGACGCCGGATATCACACTATCCTCTCCAGCAGGTGCAAGTGGTGGTTTTAGTTGCTGCTGCTATTCACTTTAATTTCATTGCCATTTCATATTCCATATCCTGTTGCCCGTTTGGATTCCATCCCAGCGATATTACTTGAAGTGCAAGCAATTGTTTNAAACAAGTGATTGTTAAGCTTTCAATAGCACTAATAATCATCATCATCACCGGCACTCACTCATCATAATAGAATTTGACATCTAGCGATGACCAGTTGCTATTGACCAGGAATATGGCGTTGAGTATGTCAATCATTTTAACGAGTCTTGATCAAGTGTAATGATCAAATGAAATTAACAAGTTGATGATAATCAATGAGACAATGAGAAGGAATGTTAAACAATTGCGATCAATCAAGCCCAATCAATCAATCAAGTAAGAGCAATTTGAAGCCAGCTTACTCTGAAACGTTTACAGGAGACGAGCAGGCAGCTAAGTGCTCTTAAATACGATAATTAGACAATTACGGATAAAGTAATTTCATCGTTATTTCGTAAAGTTTGTATAAACTCGTCGAAATGTTTATTGATCTTGCGACATAAGCCATTTGTGACTTAATTGGCAATATACGGTTTTAAAGAAAGATTTGCGGTCTTAAATTTACTCATCGCCAGTTTCAATATCTATCTAAGTTCAGTGAATCCAACTAATTCAGTACTTCATTTCGTTTCGGCCTTATTCCCAGCCAAACTCGGGAATATAATCAACGGTTTAACTTACCCAAAAAAAGTAAAATCAGATAAGGGGCGATTCTCTGANGGGTTCTGTTACATCCTATATAACATTTCGATGTGAATCCTGAAATTATTCTGTTTAATAACTGAAGCATGATGACTTCACATAGAGTGTACGAATCACGTTAATATAAATCGAGACGACTTGGGACAAACCTAGAGTTTAACATGCTCCTAGCAATTGCGATATTAAGAAATAATGAAAAATATTGGTTATATCATTGGCAGGTATGAATAATAGTTATAATAACAGTAATAGTAATTACAGTGATATCTGTAATAGTAATGATAACACTAGCAATTAAAATGTTGAAGATTAGGACTGAATAAAGAGCGAAATTGGTCTGGATGGCCCCGAGGAGTGGACGAAGAGTAGACGAAACCTCATAACTGCTCAGGTTCCATCAAAGTAGGGGCAGGATCGAGAGCCCCCAACCTGAGGAATCTCCGACCAACCCTATTAAAGAGCCTGATCAATCCCATGACTGGACATCATAGCAATCTCCTGATCTATCCGCTCTGGATTAAAGAATCGCTCGCTGTCCTCTAAAATCAGCACTATAGATCACTAAAGCCTCCCGTAAGCCTGAAGCTAAGTCTGGGCGATCAAAGCCTTAAGATTAAGTGATACTTAAGCAAGCTTCAGCAACTGGAGAGTTCAAATGCAAACGAATCTTAATCAACCTATAAACATGAGAGTCTGCGGAGATTTTTTGACTTAGCACCAATTAGTCTGTGCATATTCACGCCCACATTATGGATAAATCATATCGTTTCGTTGGAAATACAACTGAAGCGCATTAATTTCCTTACAGAAAAAGAATTGTTAGAACACTCATTAAACTCACAAGAATTGGAATGTAGAGTGAAAATTGTTTATGAGAAATAAAATTGCTCTAAAAAATTCATGACGAAATGAATGAAATATCAACGAGAACGACGGCGAGTGTGTTAGTTACTTCATCGAATATTGATACAACGAAGTAACTCAGCTGCTTGAGTGCTGAAAAATTTCTTAGAGAGTGTATTTGAGGATTGGAAAATCGATTGTTATTATTATTATTTTTAGCATGGCCTGTTCGCCAGTTAGCCAGCCAGCGGGGTGACTGCGTAAATTGAGGCTAAAACAATGTGCAGCACGGAAACGTTGCGAGTATTGTAGCCAGCAACGTTACAAACGTTTGATAGCATGCTGCTTACCAATCCAGGTAATCCAGGCTATATTTTAGCTAGGAATGAACGCAAACG